GCCGTTTTTATTTCAAATCCAGTATAGTGTTCTTTGTAGTCATTTTTATAAGTGTGTTTTTGAGTGTTTATTATGCCCAATTGTGGAAACATCTCTTCACAAGGCTTGTAAAATATAGTTGAGTGTGGAAACAGGCAACCAAACCATGTTCCACAAAGCACGTCTTGTGTAATCGATGTTTTTCCACAATATGGCGTCTGTTCCCTGTCATCAGATGCCCCATAGATATCACTGATGACATGGTCTATTTAGCCCAGAAGGACTGAATGTACTACTGGCGTGATGTGTTCTGTTGACTAAATATGCGCTGTATAAAAAAACTGCTTGCAGTTTTATATGGCCAATCATCCTATAGACTTCTATTCATTTTAAAGGGGTCATATGATGCGATTTCAATTTTTCCTTTCTCTTTGGAGTGTTACAAGCTCTTGGTGCATAAAGAAGATCTGTAAAGTTGCATGTGTTTTTTTTTACTTTAAACCGCATAAACACATTTCATTACACCAAATACACAAAATAATGTTATTTTTAGCAGCATCATATGACCCCTTTAAAGAGCAGGTCATATGGGCTTTTGAAAAATATCTCTTTTGCAGTTTATAATGTAGCAATCCTTAAATGAAAACAATCTGCAAAGTTGTTAATTAAAAAAGTGCATGATAAATAAAGATATTGGGCCTCATTCATGAAACATTCGTAAATATAGGAGTAAATTCTGAGTAATTTGCGTGTAAAACAGACCTTCCCGAAAACTTTCCTTTCTCAAAAACTTTCTCAAATGCTTCGTAAACATCCAATTTGATGGTTAAACGTGTATGTTAATGAATTCCAATCATTGGTAAATAGGGCGCTCGTGCACGCTCATTCACAATTAGCATAATCCCCGCCTATGAATTACAGCTACGCAAATTGCGTGTCCAGGAACACAGTGGCATATTCTGGTCTACTTTCTCAGGTTTGGCTCCAGTATATTGCATAAATTCAAAAAAGACGAATAGGCCATATGCCTAACAATAAATATTCAATAACGTGTGTCCACCAAAGAGTTTTTAGCCAGCTGAAAAAATGTTAGGTGCACTTCTTAAAACGACCAGCTGGTGGCGCTTGAGAACGCTTTGGTGGCACAGCGTTTTTCCAGCTGAGACGCTTTAGTTGCTATGATTTGGAATACCCATGGCGACAACGTATTACTAGTATCTCGTTTTTAAGAATTTTACTAAATATAAAAAAGCAGTAACCAGTAATATTGAATTCTTCATTGTTGTAGGCAGTCGTTGTACAAGCAGGATGGTTGATCGCTATTTGTCCAAAAACAAAAACAGAGCATTCGAACTTGTAAAATATTATTATGGCAGCGCATCAAAATTCAGTGTCATCAGTTTGCCAAAAAGAACGTTTTACGCACCATTTACACCTGGTAAGGAGCAGTGTACATTTCTTTCGTACCAACTAACATTTTGAAAATACGAACATTTTCATGAATTCGAAAGTTTATGTCAGAACAGCTTTACGAACGATTTACACAAAAATTCGTTCTGCTCGTGTTTCATGAATGAGGCCCAT